GCAAATTAAAAGTACATGGCAGGATTAAAATTAACAATGGCAAAATTATAACATGGCAAATTAAGCAAACATGAGAAATTAAGCAAATACATGGCAAATAAAAGAAGGCAAAACAAAACAAATTAACATGGCAAAATAAAATATAGGCAAATCAAAATTAACATGGCAAATAAGAAATTCAAATGAAAAATTACAAACAAAATGAAAAGATCGTCCTGCGATCAAAAATTAACTTACAAGATTCATGATGTTTACAAATTAAATTTATGAATTGAATTAAAGTTAAAAACCAACAATCAGCATGGCGGGGCAGGTATCTTTGGCAGGTCATCAATGGCTGGGTCACTGGCTGATGAGAGGGGCGCAGGGATCTTAGCCGCACATGGCTGGGTCCTCCATAGATGGGTCATCATGGCTGGTTCATCTGGGCACAATCATAGGGGCCGCGCGTGGCTGAGTCCTCCACAGATGGGACAATAATGGCTGGATCATCTGGGCACGGTCAATGAAGCCGCGCGTGGCTGGGTCCACCATAGATGGGTCATCGAAGGCTTGATCAAGTGGGCACGGTCATAAGGGCCGCGCTTGGCTGTGTCGTCTAAAGATGGGCCAAAATTGGCAGGCTCATCTGGGCACGGTCATCATGGCCGCGCATGGCTGGTACAACCACAGATGGGCAAGGTTGGCTGGCTCGCGCATGGCTGGGTCATCCTTCAGTTGGCCAAGGTTGGCAGGCTCATCTGGGCACGGTCATTAATGCCGCGCGTGGCTGGGATCGTCGATGACTGGCTCGTCTGGGCACGGTCATTGGGCCGCACGTGGTTGAATCATCTAACAGCTGGGCCAAAGATGGCACGCACAGCTGGGCACGGTTATAAAGGCCGCGCATGGCTGGGTCCTCCTGGCTAGAATCAACGATGGCTGGTTCATCTGGGCACGGTCGTAAAGGCCGCGCGTGGCTGATTCATCTATCAGTTTGGCCAAAAATGGCAGGCGCAACTGGGCCATTGTGGCCGCACATGGCTGGGTCCTCCTGGTTTGGATTGTCGATGGCTGGCTCATCTGGGCACGGTCGTTTGGGCCGCGCGTGGCTTGGTCCTCCAGGTTTGGATCGTTGATGGCTGGCTCATCTGGGCACGGTCGTTTGGGACGCGCGTGGCAGGGTCATGCATCAGTTTGGCCAAAAATGGCAGGCACAACTGGGCACGGTTATAAAGGCCGCGCATGGCTGGGTCCACCTGGCTAGGATCGTCGATGGCTGGCTTATCTGGGCACGGTCATTTGGGCCGCACGTGGCTGGGTCCTCCAGGTTTGGATTGTCGATGGCTGGCTCATCTGGGCACGAGCATTGGGGCCGCACATGGCTATGTCATTCTCAGCAGGGCTTGTAGACCGCATATGGCATGGCTGCGTCCACCTGAGTAGGTTCATCAATGGCAAAGAATACTATTAGCATGGCAAGCAAAATACGGCAGCAAAGTATGACCACCGGGACATGTAACCCACCCCCACAGAACTTTAGGAACCCAAAGAAACAAGGTTAGCAAAAGGAAATTGACCACTATGAATTAGGGGAGTGGGTACAAGAATGAATCTAAAAGTATATAGATTCATTGGCAGCAATGGCATCAATAAATGAGTCATGCCCCAGCAAGGACTGCATCTCTGCGGACATGACAGAACCTGAGGCTGCCGCAGAGAGATTGTTGTTGAAAGATATATCACAGATTGCTGATCTAGTTTCTGCTGCTGCTGTTGCTGACTCGTATTATGCTGCCGACGGCCAAATTGTTTACGAGTCTGGGCTGTATCCTTCAAACTTTGGTCCATCTTGAGTTTTGCCTGAAATTTACTTAGATGTTTCTCAGCCAGATTGGCTTGCTTGGACTTTGCTGCATTTTTGCGGCTCGCTTTGGCCCGGTTGCCGCTCCTAAACGGATTAGGTTTGATATCCTGTAGACGATCCTGGCGACTGTGCTGGCTATTTGGGTGAGACGCTGGCCTTTCAGCCATTTTAGAGTGACTCTGCCGAAGAATGTTCCAATAATTATTATTATTGTTGCTGGGCCCCTGTGAACTACGCTGCTGTTGATGCTGTTGGTCTATGGTTAGCATTAGCTTTGGGTCTAGAATGTTGAGAATACTTGGCTGGAATACTGGATATTATAGTTGATAGTCAGTAGTTGTTATCCAGGTTGGGTATTGGGATCCGAATGGAATCATGGTTGACATCCAGATGAGTATAGTTGAACTTCGGTAGCTGGTATCCAGGTAGGTATGATCCGAACGGAAAATTTGCTGGCGTCCAGGAATTTTTGTAGAGCTGCAAACAGCATGATAATTGTCATCCAAAACCATAAACTTTTATTGGTGTCAGAAAACACCCACTCCGAGGGCCCAATATGGGGCCAAAGCCAAAATGACGGAGAGGGTTGGGTATACGGTTGATAGGGATTAGGCATATTTTGGGTCATTCCCCAAAATAGCATCCAATGCATGGTTAATCTCGGCATTGGAAATCCTATCAGTAGCGACGATGGCGGAACTGGTTTGACCCTCCACCAGGTTGTTGGGGAGTACGGGGACAGTAGGTTCCATTGGCACTTCCATCTTGCTGAGAGACATCAGTAGTAGTAGTCAATGGGGCAGAGTTTGAGCCCATCATTGTTCATCTTGGCGGGAACTTCAGTTGGCTGGAGAGGGATAAAGTTCTCCTCGGTCAGCTCACGGGCCCGGGGGAGTTAGGCACGTTTGCCATTTGCTGCCAGTCGTCTTTGAGAAGATGAAACACTGCTCCGGGGTAGTTCCAGTTTCATTGGCTTCTTGGTTATTGGCGAAATCATCGCCAAACTACGCTGCGGTGATTGGGGCTCACTTAGAAGGGAGAAGTAAACCCTGCTCTTCAGGATTTTAAACTTGGGGCATCCTTTATAGGGGCTGACGTGTTGGCCGCCACAGTTACAGCATACACGTGGCGTTCCATAGGCCTTCTTGCAGGAAGTCGTTGGGTGTTTGCCCGCACATTTCATGCAGGCAAAGTCTAGGCTGCAGGTCTTGTTGGTGTGGCCAAACGATTGGCACCGATGACATTGGGTCAGCATTTGTCTGGCCCTAACACGTTTACTGGCAGAGTCGCTCCTTGCAGCATCCATACGGGGGGGTAGAATTTTTCGCCTTTTATTATTGGCTCCAGCGACATCATCACCATTATTAGATCCAGTCTCAAAAACAATTTTACGTTTGGCGGCTGGATTATTTGCTGATTTGCTCTCACTCGGGGGAGTAATGGCCGTCTTAGGGGGAAGCGGGACATTGGCATCCACAAAGACCAGCGGCTGTATTGGCGAGGAGTCGTTGGCACACGGCTGGTGTACATCAGCTTGGGTAGTAACCATCTGAGGGCCATTATCCAGAGAGCAGGAGGTGTTGAGGGGGGCCATTGCGTTTGAGTTGATGTCATCTGAGGCGGCGGTGGGCTTGCCCGTTCCAGGTTCCTTAGTTGCATTGCCGCCAGGTTTCAGGTTGTCGAAAAATTTCTGCAGAGCCTGAACAGTACTTGTACTCAGCGGAGTTCTGGCAGGAGTAGTCCTCTTTGGGGCACTGGCGATAGACGCCGAGGACTTGGTGAGCTGCCGTTTAATACACTGGTCGATAGCCTTCAGGGAATTTGACGGAGAAGGCGTACCAGAATTTTCCATTGGCTTGGCGACAGAATTCGCGGGGCCCGTAGCTGGATTTCTCGGGGCCATCCCCACGCCGTGGGATTTGTAGTTAGTGTTGCTGTCGGCCATGGATGATGATTTGAAGACGTCATTGGGTGTGCAGCCGCCAAAGGTAAAAGTCTTTGGCCACGCGGTGTTGGCAGCCGAGACACGAGGTTTAAAGTTGAATAACGGCGAAGAAGACCGACTATTAGCAGAGGCGGTTCCCTTAGTTAATGATCTATTGAGGGAATCCAATGCCAGTGGATCTTTGCTCTGAGTGGCAGAGTTCAAAGAGCCTTTATTAAGAGAGCCATTCTTTGAAGAGAGAGGATCCAAAACGGGGTGCGTTTGGCTGCATTAGCTTCAGTGGGGCCAAATCGAAAGACCTCAGTGGGAATAGAAGAGCGAGAGAATGAGCTAGTTGCAAACTCTCTTAACTCGTAGCTTGAGTAAGAGTTACTGCTCGAAGAGAAAATCTCGATTGGGGTCGTCTCACTTCTTACATCTCCATTTGTAGCCATGATGGGAATAGCTGCTTGTCGGAACAAAAACAATAGCAGAATTAAATTGCCAATTCCAGAATATTCACCCCCACTCTCTTAAAGTGGTTCTCTTTATTCAAATTCCAGTTTCTCCTCTCCAGTTTCCAGTTTCCAATTTCTCCTCTCCAGTTTCTCCTTTCCAGTCCAGAAAACGGTAGCTCCAAAATGGCGGGTCCAAGATGGCCGGTCCAACTCCTAACGGTGGATTTCCAAGCGGATATATGTATATAAAATCCACTATATTTAAATAAATCCACTTTTTTACTGTTGAAATCGCCAATAAGCAGCTTTGAATGGGTGCTTTACACGTTGCCGTTCGGGGCCCAAATAAAAACAGGCACACACATATAAGTGGTCATGTGTAATATTAGTGTAAATTAATATTAGTGTAAATTAAGTATTTTTATAGTTTGATAGATATTAAGTATTATAATGTTATCGAAGAATGGTCACACTAATAAGCGTGGCGGAAGATGGAAAATTACATACAAGCACATGGCTTTAATTAAAACTATTTATATATTGTTTTAAAACAGAGGTCGGCACCCCAATACATTGATATGATTTTACCGCATTAGTGTTAGTAACGTATAGCAGAAAGTAGGCTTTGAGCATGACGTTTCACACATTTATACTGTGTGTGTGTGGCAGAGCTCGGGCAGAGAAATTTCCTATGCCCCCGAGATAGGGCCGTGCCGACCTCTGTTTTAAAAGCTTATTACATGGTGTCAGAAGTAAAAAATTAATTGTTAGAATGGATCGAGCACTATCAGAGTTGGAATGCTCAATATTGGCACAAGAATGGCCAAAGTGGAAACAAAGCTTTCTGATGTACATGTTGGCTTCGGGAAAAGATGCGGATCCAGAGCCTAAGAAGATAGCCACATTCTTGTGGTTGGCGGGATCTAAAGCAACGGGAATCTACAATGCACTGTTTCCCAACGATGGAACAACAAGCAGTATGTTAGGAACTGCAGCAACGTCAGCAGACCCTGTGTCATCAAAAGATGTTGGTCGCTCACTGGACGATGTGCTGAAAGCATTCGACAAACATAGTATTCCATTTCGAAATACTACAATGGAAACATTTAAATTCAATAATATTATACAGGCAGATGGACAGCTTTTTATTGAATTCGAAACGCAACTACGCAAGCAAATGCAGTTGTGCGATTTTGAGTGTACCTGTGGCCAGAAGTACGAAGAAAGGATGCTAATGGATCGTATCATTATTGGCATAAACGACAAAAGGCTACAACTAAAGCTTCTGGACTCCAAAAATAAGAAGCTAGAGGATGTGCTAAACGAGTGCAAAGCCTATGAAGCTGCTACGGAAAACAACGCCATTTTACAAAATCAGCAACGTGTTTTGTTGGAGAGCAGTACAATAAATGCGGTTGCTCGCAAATGCTATAATTGTGGAGCTACATTTAACCGAAATCATCTGGTCGAGTGCCGCGCCAAGGAGGCGACATGTCATGCGTGTGGAAAACGCGGACATTTTGCGAGATACTGTGAGCAGCAGAAGAAACGAGATAAACAACATCCCTCTGGATCTTCAATTAGTAATATCTTCTGGCTAGAGTCAGGTAAAACTGGAAATTTTAGAAAGCAAATGATCTTGTTTTAACTAATAGTTCTAGAATAAGTGAGTGCAGACGAAGTGGTGAACGGTGGACGAAAACCTTTCGAATAAATGGAACAGATATTAAATTTAAGGTAGATACTGGAGCAGACGTCAACTGCATCCCAATGAATATAGCAGCAAATCTAAAATTAGAAATTAAGAAAGAAAAGTTCCTGGTTTTTGATTATAACAATGTCGAAGTTAATAACTATGGATTGGCTAGAGCAAATTGTATTGATCTAAATTCAAAAAGTAGCAACAATATCGAATTTTTAGTTGTTGATTCAAACTGTGAACCCTTAATAGGTCTTAAGTCGTTGATTGAATTAAATCTGATTAAACATTTAAAAATAGACTTACTCTGTAAAATACCGACTAAAAAAGAGGAGTTTTTAGAAAAATTTAAACTGTTATTTCAAGGGCTTGGCAAACTGCCAAATAAGCAATCAATTGTCTTGAGGAGTGATGCAAAGCCTGTTCTGCATTATAAAAAGAGGTTTCCCCAAAGCTTACTGGGAAGATTGGAAAAAGAACTGAACAATATGGTACAAGAAAAAATTATATCCCCTGTGACATATCCTACCAGTTGGGTAAATAACCTGCAAGTAGTAGAAAAATCCAATGGGAAAGTAAGACTTTGTTTAGACCCCAAGCCACTGAATAATGCAATTAAACGAGAACATTACTTAATACCAACAATAGAAGATTTTATGGCACAGCTATCCCGTAAGAAAGTTTTTACTGTTCTAGACCTTTCCCATGGGTTTTGGCAAATGGAATTAGACGAAGCCAGCTCTGACTTAACAACTTTTATGACTCCCTTTGGTAGATTCAAATTCAATCGAGTCCCTTTTGGAATTAATAGTGCTCCTGAAATGTTTCAACGGAACATGGTACAAATTTTTGGGGATTTATCGAATGTCATTATATAATTTGATGACATAGGAATTTTAGGAGAAAGTTTTGAAGACCATGATGAAACACTTTTGAAAGTTTTAAAACGCGCAGAACTAAATGGTATACGTTTCAACCCCGACAAGGTTCAATATAGGAAAGCGGAAATTGAGTTTATGGGTCACGTCCTCTCCGGAGGAACAATTAAACCACAAAGAAAGCATTTGGAAGCAATTGAAAAAATTAAAACACCCAGCGACAAATCTGGAGTGTTACGCATTCTTGGACTGTATAAGTATTTAGCTAAGTTTATCCCGGACTTGTTCTCAAGAACCGCAAAGCTTAGGAATCTTACCAGACTTGACACTCCTTTTTTTGACACTCCTTAAATGATTATCAATATAGGATTCTTGAATACAACGCTACCCCAGTAGCAAGTTTAGATCTTGCACCATGCGAATTATTCTTTGGAAGAATGTGCAAGACCAAATTACCAATAAAGAAGACTGCGTTATATAGAAAGATAATTAATGAAGAAATAATCTCACGGAAGTTTATCGAAAAAAAAAGAAACAAAAAAAATACTACGACATGCACTCAAGAAGCCTGCGTCCTTTTGTTAAAGGTGATAGGGTTCAGTTTAGAAAAAAAGAAAATGAGTGGGTTAAAGGAGTAGTCGAAAAAAGAGTAAATGAAAGGTCTTATATCATAAGGGATGATTTTAATAACCACTTCAGAAGAAATAGAAGATTTATGAATAAAATAAGTGGAGGAAACGCCGGTGAAGATATTGACTATTTTCATGATAGTATAAGTATAAAGTTAAGTGAAAACAAAGAGATTCCTATAACTAATAGTAATTTAAGACAACCCGAAAACGATGTTAGATTAAGTAAGACTGAGAATATTGCCACTACTTTTTCTGCTACTCCATTGCTCTGAGGATAATTAGGGCTTGAAAACTGGAGTACTGCATTACACTCATTGGCAAAAGATCTGAACATAAAGGAATTAAATGGACTGTTGTCACACTTTAATTTTGATGGGTAACCATATTTATTAAAATTATTTCTGAGTTCTTCAATAATATGTGAAACCGATTTTCCCTTAAGCTGACTAACAATCAAAAAATTAGAGTATGCATCAAAAATCGAAAGGAAATCCTTTCTACCGTAATGAAAGATGTCCATTCCTACCTGGTGGAAAAGGGTATTCTGGTGTTTCGTCTTCTACCATGGGTTCCTTCGGAATTTTTCCTACGAAACTTCTCACAAACTTCGCAAGCGAATACAAGTTCTTTTATCTGGGAATTCATATTTGGCCAATAATACAGTTTACGTGCTCTAGCTAATGTTTTCTCTATCCCTAAGTGAGGGTCGTGTACCTGTTTTAAGATCTGCTTTTGCAATTTAAATGGGATTACTAATCTGCATAAGCGAAATAGGAGACCATGTTCAAAATGCAATTCTGATTTATGTTTATAGAACGCCTGACAAAACTTATCTAACTTACGAAAAGATGGTCATCCTTTTTCTACGAACTCAACAATCTTCTGATAATTTTCGTCATTTGCTAAAATTTTGCGATAGCAATTGTAATTTTCCTCCGATAAGCATGCTGCTCGGGTCACTGTGTGAATCACTGTGGCTAAGCCTTGAATTTCTACTTCATCCGGTAGTTGCGCTCGTGAGAGACAGTCAGCTACTAACATATCTTGTCCTGGTGTGTATTTAACGGACATATTAGTATATTTCAGTAGATATAGAAGCATTCGTTGCAGCCTCATCGTTACTGAATCGATGTCCCGCTTTAGAAGAACTTCCAAAGGCTTGTGATCACTTTGTACTAAAAATTCCCGACCATAAATATAATAATGAAACCTTTCACAGGCAAAAACAATGGCTAGTAGCTCTTTTTCTATTTGAGCCCATTTTTGCTCAGTTTTTGTAAGGGTTCGCGAAGCAAAACTAACTGGGTGTCCGTTCTGTAGGATAACTCATCCAAGACCATCTTTTGAAGCATCCGTTTGGATAACAACAGGCTTAGTTTTATCATACACTGCCAACACTGGGTCATTGGTTATAGTTTTAAGTAAGTCATTAAGTTCGTTTTGATGTTCTGTTGTCCATTCAAAAGGAGTGTCAAGTCTGGTAAGATTCCTAAGCTTTGCGGTTCTTGAGGACAAGTCCGGGATAAACTTAGCTAAATACTTATACAGTCCAAGAATGCGTAACACTCCAGCTTTGTCGCTTGGTGTTTTAATTTTTGCAATTGCTTCCAAATGCTTTCTTTGTGGTTTAATTGTTCCTCCGGAGAGGACGTGACCCATAAACTCAATTTCCGCTTTCCTATATTGAACCTTGTCGGGGTTGAAACGTATACCATTTAGTTCTGCGCGTTTTAAAATTTTCAAAAGTGTTTCATGGTCTTCAAAACTTTCTCCTAAAATTCCTATGTCATCAAATTATATAATGACATTCGATAAATCCCCAAAAATTTGTACCATGTTCCGTTGAAACATTTCAGGAGCACTATTAATTCCAAAAGGGACTCGATTGAATTTGAATCTACCAAAGGGAGTCATAAAAGTTGTTAAGTCAGAGCTGGCTTCGTCTAATTCCATTTGCCAAAACCCATGGGAAAGGTCTAGAACAGTAAAAACTTTCTTACGGGATAGCTGTGCCATAAAATCTTCTATTGTTGGTATTAAGTAATGTTCTCGTTTAATTGCATTATTCAGTGGCTTGGGGTCTAAATAAAGTCTTACTTTCCCATTGGATTTTTCTACTACTTGCAGGTTATTTACCCAACTGGTAGGATATGTCACAGGGGATATAATTTTTTCCTGTACCATATTGTTCAGTTCTTATTCCAATCTTCCCAGTAGGCTTTGGGGAAACGTCTTTTTATCATGCAGAACAGGCTTTGCATCACTCCTCAAGACAATTGATTGCTTATTTGGCAGTTTGCCAAGCCCTTGAAATAACAGTTTAAATTTTTCTAAAAACTCCTCTTTTTTTCTAAAAAGTGGATCTTTGCTTAGTTAATGATCTATTGAGGGAATCCAATGCCAGTGGAGCCTTTATTAAGAGAGCCATTCTTTGAAGAGAGAGGATCCAAAACGGGGTGCGTTTGGCTGCATTAGCTTCAGTGGGGCCAAATCGAAAGACCTCAGTGGGAATAGAAGAGCGAGAGAATGAGCTAGTTGCAAACTCTCTTAACTCGTAGCTTGAGTAAGAGTTACTGCTCGAAGAGAAAATCTCGATTGGGGTCGTCTCACTTCTTACATCTCCATTTGTAGCCATGATGGGAAAAGCTGCTTGTCGGAACAAAAACAATAGCAGAATTAAATTGCCAATTCCAGAATATTCACCCCCACTCTCTTAAAGTGGTTCTCTTTATTCAAATTCCAGTTTCTCCTCTCCAGTTTCCAGTTTCCAATTTCTCCTCTCCAGTTTCTCCTTTCCAGTCCAGAAAACGGTAGCTCCAAAAAGGCGGGTCCAAGATGGCCGGTCCAACTCCTAACGGTGGATTTCCAAGCGGATATATGTATATAAAATCCACTATATTTAAATAAATCCACTTTTTTACTGTTGGAATCGCCAATAAGCAATTGGGGCCCAAATAAAAACAGGCACACACATATAAGTGGTCATGTACATTTAAAGTACATATTAAAAACAGGCACTTATTTTGAATTATAGTTTGCCGCAAAAATTTTTGTTGTATCCAATTGGCAATATTTAAGTTAATTAATGGCACTATTTAAAGTCACTCGTGGCAGATCAGAGAACCGTATAATTATGCACATATAACTGGCCACATATGTACATATAAATTCAATCAAAATTTCAAGGAACACTTCAATGTAATAATTGAATAATACTTGATTAGCAATTTGCGACTTTAAACTGGCTAATTATAGTTGCGACTTTCTGTTTATAACCGGGACTTAATTCATTGCACAGTGGCGGTTCAGAAAAGAATAATACGTATGCACATGTGTATGGTTATGTACATATACAAATAATCCAGGAAAATAGATGAATAAGCTAAAAGGCAGTTTTGCCAGACTTGCTATTTAGCAGACGGTGGTTCTTGATTGCACAGAGTTTATTAAAAGCACCAATTAATTTCACTTTTTAGCCGGCCGGGATCCGTTATGCATATGCACATACGTTGAGGCAGGTTATGTACATATGAAAAATTTGTTTTTTTTTTTTTTTTTTTTTTTAAATGATTGTGGTTGTTTGTTGGCTTTTATCGCTGTTGCTTCTCAGGCTGGCTTGCTCGTCGCGTCCCGCTCGGTCGATCGCTAGGAACGTCCGCAGCCCACGACGCTCAAACTGGATTGGGCGGGAGAGCGGGGCAGCGCAGCCATATACCACTACGACTCATTACCTAGGGTGGCAACATTTTTGCGTAGGGTAGGTCATGGGAGACTGCGCTGCCACCGCGCCAGACCAGCAAATACAGAGTTTTAATTTAACATGGCAAATTAAAAAAGTACATGGCAGGATTAAAATTAACAATGGCTGGGTCACTGGCTGAAGAGAGGGGCGCAGGCATTTTAGCCGCACGTGGCTGGGTCCTCCATAGATGGGTCATCGATGGCTTGATCGAGTGGGCACGATCATAAGGGCGCGTGGCTGTGTCCTCCACAGATAGGTCAATAATGTCAAACTCATCTGGGCACGGTCAATGGGGCCGCGCGTGGCTGGGTCCTCCATAGATGGGTCATCGATGGCTTGGTCAAGTGGGCACAGTCATAAAGGCCGCGCGTAGCTGGGTCCTCCGCAGACAAGTCAATAATGGCAGACTCATCTGGGCATGGTCAAAGGAGCCGCGCATGGCTGGGTCCTCCTGGCTAAGATTATCGATGGCAGGCTCATCTGGGCACGGCAAATGGAGCCGCGCGTGGCTGGGTCCTCCACAGATGGAACAACAGTGGCTTGTTCATCTGGGCACAGTCAATGGGGCCGCGCGTGGCTGGGTCGTCCATAGATGGGTCAACAGTGGCTGGTTCAACTAGGCACGGTCGTTGTTGCCGCGCATGGCTGGGTCATCCTTCAGTTGGCCAGGGTTGGCAGACTCATCAGGGCACGGTCAATATGGCCGCGCATGGCAGGGTCATCCACAGATGGGTCAATAATGGCAGGCTCCTCTGGGCACTGTCGTTGTTGCCGCGCATGGCTGTGTCGTCTAAAGATGGGCCAAAACTGGCAGGCTCATCTGGGCACGGTCATCATGGCCGCGCATGGCTGGTACATCCACAGATGGGCAAGGTTGGCTGGCTCAACTGGGCACGGGCATTGTAGCCGTGCATGGCTGGGTTCACCTGGCTAGGATTATCGATGAATGGCTCATCTGGGCATTGTCGTTTGGGCCGCACATGGCTGGGTCATCCTTCTAGTAAGCCAAAAATAGCTGGCTCAACTGGGCACGGACATAATAGCCGCGCGTGGCTGGGTCCTCCTGGCTAGGATTGTCGATGGATGGCTCATCTGGGCACGGTCGCTTGGGCCGCGCATGGCTGGTACATCCACAGATGGACCGTAAACAGAATGGAAGGCTCATCTGGGCACGGGCATTGTAGCCGCGCATGGCTGGGTCCACCTGACTAGGATCGTCGATAGCTGGCTTATCTGGGCACGGTCATTTGGGCCGCACTTGGCTGGGTCCTCCAGGTTTGGATTGTTGATGGCTGGCTCATCTGGGCACGGTCGTTTGAGCCGCACGTGGCTGGGTCATCCTTCTGATACACCAAAAATGGCAGGCTCATCTGGGCACGGTCATTGTTGCCGCGCATGGCTGGGATTGTCGATGGCTGATTCATCTGGACAAGGTCGTTTGGGCCGCACGTGGCTGGGTCATCCATCTGCTGGGCCAAAAAAGGCAGACGCAACTGGGCAGGGTCATTGAGGCCACACATGGCTGGGTCCTCCTGGTTAGACTGTCGATGGCTGGCTCATCTGGGCACGGCTATTGGGCCGCGCGTGGCTGGGCCATTAGTGACTTGATTCAGAGCGTGCTTAAAGGCGCATGTGGCTGGATCCTCCTTGGCATAACTGGACATCCGCGGCGCGGGCTTGATGGCAATTCGTGTCTGGCTCATACTTGGCTGGTTCATCAATGACATGATTCAAAGCGCGCTTAAAGGCGTACAAAGGCGAATAAGCACATTTTTCAATAAAATTGGGAAGATTGGTCTGAAAGTTTTTTAGGTAGTCCTCTTTCTAATACCTTCTATTAATTGTAGAGGGCCAACATGCCACCATGTGAAGCATCCCCAAACCATAATACCACCACCCCCATGTCTTACAGTTTCTTTTACATGGTGTCTTTGGATTCGATCTCCGGGTCTACGCCAGCAATATTGCTTTCTGTCAGACTGAAAAGGGTAAAATTTACACTCGTCAGACCAGATAACACGTTGTAACGTCCTGGTTCTGATCGGGAGCACGCACTGTCTGTTGCCGGCCTAGCTCAGGGCCAGAGGGAGGGTTCTTGTGCTTCCCCAAATCAGGGTTACCAAATAAAAGAAATCGACAGTGCTTAAGGGAAGGGAGTGGCCAAAGTGGTGGGGGAGAGAGAGAGAATGAGGATCTTAGCTTGGAGAACTCAGGTGTTATGGATCTCCTCTTTACCCGCCCTACCTTGTTGCACCATTATCATTGGGCAACCCATTTTACGTTAGCTTGTCTCTGGAAACCCCATGGAAATATTTAGACGCGATTCATTATAATTTCATTACTTCATTATATTCATTAGATATTTCAGTGTTTGGTACATTATTCCTACTATAACAGATTCTAATCTTAATCCAACATCATTATTCAAAGGGTTTAACCTAACCTTAACATAAAATGATTTAGTATGATTTAAATTTTATGATTTACTTAATTTATATTGATTGGAATTTAGAAAATTAAGGAAATTACTCTATGTTGCTCTACTTCATGATTTTACTTCATCCAAAATATTCATATACATATTTATATATCTTTTCTATGTCATTCTAACAAATATTCGTTAGGTTGTTGCGGCTATGCCGTACTTACAGCTCGTCCCTCGAGGTCAGCAGGCCTGTCGACTTCCGATGCAGCTATGTATTTATAGGTGTTTTCTAAAGCTTACTTCATAATAGTGTAGATATTTATATATATATATAGATATTAAAGGATGTAGTAGGTAATTAATTTAACAAAAGCAAAAACTTTCAAAACTTATTAATTCTAGAAAATAATTATTAACAATTATGATTCAAAATTCTTTAAAGTTTTACATTCCCTACAGTGGCAGATCAGCTATGCATCTAAAACTGTGGGGGGTTATATGGTATTTGTTTTTCTGTTAATTCTCTTGGGGAAATAACGGATGCAGCATGGTAGAAAACAGAACACAAATCCATGAGAGCTACTTTTATAGTAGGCGAGAGGAGAGGGGGGAGTTGATTCCACGCCTCATGGAAACCTCGTGGTCCTTATGTAATGTTAGGGAACAGCGGGGGGTTTCATGACGATCCGTTACTGTTCCTCCAAAACGCTCCTCAATAGCTCTAAATCCTCATCTCGGATTCCTGCGTTTCTGGCTTATATATATTTTATATATGTGCTCGGCCGAAATACCAGGCCACCATGGCTCTGCGAAATTTATGGCCATTAGAACTTCCCCAAGAATTGCAGTTTCTTTTTCTCACCTGATATTGGCCGACCCACAGGGAAAATTAAACAGCAACTCTCAATTGCACTTGAAACTCGCACTTGTTTGGTTGCAACTAGTTTCATAAATTCACTTTAATTCAAATATAAAGATTGCGGGACACGTGTAATTAGATATTTCCACGTGTTTTATTCTTAAAAGGTGAAATCTTAGGTCAATCCGCTTGAGTCAAAGAACGATTTGAAAGTGAAACTGGGCTTATCTTTGCAACGAAAACGAACCTACTTGCACATGCCAGGGAGCTTTAACGGTTCTAAAAAAAAGGCATAGGAAAGAAGGGGATGGCAAGTGTGCACTTTTGGAGACTACTGCAATCTGCACAATGGGACACATCTGAAATTGTTTGTCTTAAAATTTGCTCGTGAAAATCACCCTCACACCCACAGGTTGGAATGAAAAATTTATTTTTCGGCTCAAAGCTGAAAAAAGGGTGATCTTTACCAGATGTCTTTAGCATGAATGGTCCCTAATTCTTTTCCTGATAAGTCTTCTAGTAAATACAGCGATTGTCCGCACTTTTTCTTTACTCGGACTTTTACTCCAACAGGCGCTAGCTTAGCGTTGAAATTCCCTGCGGCATTGCTTAGCTTAAAGTTTCTCTTCGTTACTATCTGGCCAATATTAAATGTCCGGTGATGGCTTCGCAAATCATACGTACGTTTGTTGGTCTGATAGGCTTTCTGCATATGTTTTTGAATGTCCCCTCGAATATTGGAAAAGTTGTCTAATCGATTAAGGGTAGTGGATCCCTCATTAATTAATCCCAATTTTTCTAAAAGTTGGTAATCGTTACCATGAGTAATCATGTTTTGTCCATCGACTGATGTAGATTATTTCGCAAGGCGCTATTAATGCTACTCAAGTACTTGTCCCATTCCCTCTGATCTGACCGAATGTAAGATCTTAACGCCGCGTTAATAGATCTATTAACTCGTTCTGCAGCGTTGGACTGAGGAGCATATGCTGCTGTGCACCGGTGTTGGACTCCGTACCGATTCAAAAACGCAGAGAAGTCATTTCCCTTAAACTGTCTACCGTTGTCAGTAACTACTACCTGTGGAACTCCAAAGCAATCGAAAATATCCTCGTTAAGGATTTTAACTACAATCTCCCATGTAAATTTCTTTACAGCCTTCAAGAAGGTGAATTTTGAGAAGTGATCCAAAATTATGAATATTCCTATATTTCCTCGTTTGGTTCTAGGAAAAGGGCCGATGAAATCGAGATATAGTCTCTGAAAAGGTCTCTCGCTTTTAGTTTGCTGTCCCATTGGAATTTTCATTTTCTGTGTGGGATGCTTGCAAGTTTGACATACCTCACATTGGCGGATGTAATCGCGGACATTGATAACCATTCCTGGCCATGAGAAAGTTCTGCGGATTCTCTCTAAGCACTTTGCCATGCCACAATGCGAAGCGGATGGTTGATCATGGGCTGCTCTAATAACTTCTGTTCTCAATTGACTTGGGACTACCAACTTCCAGCACTGATCGTCTTTATCCAGATCGCCTCTGGAAAAGTTACGACGATGATAAAGCAAGTTGTCAACTACCTGATAGTCGGGCATGTTATTGGCAACTATTTTGTCGATCAGTTCTTTATATTCCGAAGACTGGAACGCATCGGAACTAAGATCTATTTCGGGCCATACTTCGATGTCTACATTGGCAACGTTCACATCTCCTTCGAAAGATCGAGAGATGGCATCGGGTACAACATTTTCACTTCCCTTTCGGTGTTCTATGGTCAACTGGTATCCTTGAAGTTTCATGGCCCATCTTTCTAGTCTACCTCTCAAGTCGTTCTTTTTCATTAACCAACTTAAACTAGCATGATCGGTGATTACTTTAAAGAGGTGTCCTTCGATGTACATTCTAAATCTTTCAATGGCTAAAACTACCGCTAAACACTCTAATTCGGTTACCGAATAATTTCGCTGAGCCTTGTTAAGCTTTTTGGACATATAACTGATTGGCCGCTCGTATCCGTCTTCGTCACACTGCGCCAATAATCCTCCTACTCCATAGATGGATGCATCGCACTGAATGATGAAAGGTTTGTCGTAATTGGGACTAATTAATACTGGCGATGAGCATAATTTGTCTTTAATGGCTTGAAAAGATTTCTGTGCATCGTCGTTCCATGTTAAGGATTTTCCTTTCAATAATTCTGTGAGTGGAAAAACTATTGTCGAATACTGTGGTATGAATCTCTGATACCAACCGGTCATGCCTAAAAACCGTCGTAATTGTTTCTGCGTTGCAGGGACAGGATAGTCTGAAATGGCACGAACTTTGTCGTTGTTCGGTTGTAGAGTGCCCTCTCCTACTACATATCCTAAATATTCCACTTTAGATAAGCCGAATTGACTTTTGGCTATATTGATGGTCAACCCTGCCTTACGTAAATGGGAAGCTACTACGGTTAAGTGAGTCAGGTGTTCATCCAAAGTAGAAGATAATACCAATAGGTCGTCTAGGTAAACCATCACGTGAGACTTTAATTGATATGGTATAACCTGATCCATTAATCTGCACATTGTTTGGGGTGCATTACACAAACCAAAAGGCATGCGCTTAAACTGGTATAGCGGTCGATTTGGGACAACAAACGCGGTTTTTGGTCGAGATTTCTCTTCTAAAGCAATTTGCCAAAACGCGTCTTTTAAATCGATCTTTGAAACGCATCGAACTGCAGGAAGTCTACTCAATAAACCTTCTAAGTGTGGCATAGGATATGTGTCCTTTGCGGTAACACTATTCAATTTTCTTGAATCCAGACAAAACCTTACCTTTCCTGGTTTTACTAATAGGACAATCGGTGAAGACCATTCCGATGGAGGTGCTTCTTCTATAATGTCTAACTCTAACATTCGGTCAATTTCGCTACACAAAAGTTTCTCTTTGGCTGGCGAAATAGGATAATAACGCTGTTTAACCGGACGCGTATCCTTTGTGTCGATTACGTGCTCTACCAACTTTGTTAAACCCAATCCGTCACATTCAGAGGTAGGAAATAACTCAATCACGTTCTGTAACTTGCGGTTTTCTGTGGCTGATAATGCTAGTTTGTCGCTACTCGTTTCTATCGCATGTACTTCGGGAAGATTGGATTGATAGTTTATAGAAATTCCGAATTGATTCCAAAAGTCAACTCCACATATAATGTCTAATGATATGGACGGAACAATTAAAAACTCAAAATCGTTTTGAAGGTTGTTATATACCAATGATATTACTATTGCACCTGAAATTTCTTGACGTTTTCCGTCTGCTGTACAAACTCTTCCTTTTTGTTTTTGATATTGCTTTGAATCTACTATTGTTTTTGCTAATTCTCCACCTATGATGCTTTTGTTGGCACCACTATCTAATAATGCATAATAGGGTTGATCGAAAATGTGCAGCTTAACAAATGGACGATTATCTTGAGCATTTTGTGAAAGGCTCGATACTGTATACGTTGTAGACTTCTTCAAACTGTTCCAAAATTTTCGCATTCGCCTAGATGATCGTGAATTATGGTATTTAATTGAAAACAAATCAGATCTTCTTGACTCGTATTCTTTAAGTCTTATGTGATACGGCTTCCTGATTTTATGACTAACTTCTTCATCTAACAGTTCTGGTTTATTTGGATTTGAAAGTATAATTAAATTTTCGCTTGAATTTAGTTGCGGACATCCCTCTTGTGTGAATTGCGGATGTCCTGTGGATCGTTTCCCGAATGCGGATTACATTTAACACATTTTGGTCGATAGGTATCTAAAGCTCCACATCCGTAACAAAACACGCGCCGAGGTTTAAGACAATCCAAATACCTGTGCCCTGGATCATCACAATTCCAGCACTTCATGGAAGTCTTTATTGCAAACACCTTCTGGTTATCTGTCTCTAAGTCCGAAACTTCATCTTGTTGGTCCTCTAACGAGACGGCATTAACTGTACGTCTAAAGTTGTTTTGTAAATTCCCTTGCTTATACTTATTGTTGCCAAAGAATGCCTCATGTTTGTGACACTCTCGTCTCAATGCTGACAATGATGGGGTATCTACATGCAAAAGTTCATGATATAACTCTGGTCTTAGATTGTTTTGAACTTCTGCTACGATTTCTTCATCAGACAATGGTTCTCGTAAGGCATCAGTAATAGCAAAAGGTCCAGCAAAAAGTAAATGTCCAAATTTGTAAAGCAATACAAAATTTCCATTTAAACTTTGAGATGTTAAGCAGTTAACTCTATAAATAAAGTCTTCTACCGAGATATCACTAAGCAACCCTGTAAATTTGATATGCCAATTCGAGATAACTCCAGCAGTTTTATCCGAGAAGTCTCGAAAAGGTTCCTGAACTACCGGCGAATTATTATTACGTCTGTTAAATTGATTGGATCGTGCTCCACTGTCTAAACTTATACGAGGATGGGCCAAGGGTGCAGGAAAATCCCATTCAAGTTGCGGTTCTTCTGGGTTTTCTCGTGGAATCCCGTTTAACGACAAGCTATTAAGGGTTGTACGAACTTCTTCGGACAAGGTTGCTGTCATGCTTATACGAAATGACTCCATAGAACTTGCTATCAATTGTTGAATTCTTTCTTCACTAATACCATTGGAATCGGCAGTAGCCTGAGTATTTGTTATTTCCTGACGCGATGAAGCTCCTAGACTCGTTCGGGGGTTTACATTTGCATTCGGTCTTTGGTGTGATCGGGTATTAGGTCTATTTCTAGGAATAGTTCCTGTGGTTGAGCTATTGTTTCCACCAGCTCTGGTTGTCCTAGAGTGGGGAACGTTCGCTTCTGCATTAGTCAAAGTCTGGCTTTCAACCTGATCTCGCTGACAAACACTTCGACAAATCGGACAAGTTTCATTATTATCTAACCACGACAATATGCATTGGCGATGGAATTTGTGTTTACATGCTATCTCCACATATTCTCCTTGAATATTTGTATCATTGCATAGTGCAGCTTATTGTAGTATCTCTCTCATTGGACATTCGTGCTACCAAGTTTTCTAGACTGCGTCTGACTGCCATTATTTATGTTTATATTTTATTTTTGCTTTGTTTATCTTAAATATGTTTGGTTAGTGATTTATTTTTCATTGTTGTTGGGGTTTTACTCCGAGACAAGCTAACTTAACTATTCAGCTAAGGTATCCCACATTCTCTTACTTTGGGTCTATTGCGCTATTGTGGAAACTGTCAATGAAAAGAGAGTCTTGCCAAGAATGCTCAGCAAAAATAATCTCCAATTTTAATTGATTTCCGAAATTAATATTAGGACGAAAAATCCAAGACTGATATTGTAAAGCCTGATGGAATACAATAAATACGATATATGTATTTAATAAACGTGAGTCTTGGCCACTAGATTGGCTATTACCAAACTGTGTCATCCAAAGATCTCCTGATTTAAATTGTGAACTTTTAGCTATAATGGATTTTTGGGAACGGATGAAATTGTGAGGGAAAATATCTACATATTGTTCTTCACGTATGGTCATTCTGTACTATATACCTTGTAACCACGTTTACCACGATTGCCCACGTTGGCTTCACGGTTGACTCCAACGTCGGCTCCACGGTTGGGCGCCATTTTATCTGTAACGTCCTGGTTCTGATCGGGAGCACGCACTGTCTGTTGCCGGCCTAGCTCAGGGCCAGAGGGAGGGTTCTTGTGCTTCCCCAAATCAGGGTTACCAAATAAAAGAAATCGACAGTGCTTAAGGGAAGGGAGTGGCCAAAGTGGTGGGGGAGAGAGAGAGAATGAGGATCTTAGCTTGGAGAACTCAGGTGTTATGGATCTCCTCTTTACCCGCCCTACCTTGTTGCACCATTATCATTGGGCAACCCATTTTACGTTAGCTTGTCTCTGGAAACCCCATGGAAATATTTAGACGCGATTCATTATAATTTCATTACTTCATTATATTCATTAGATATTTCAGTGTTTGGTACATTATTCCTACTATAACAGATTCTAATCTTAATCCAACATCATTATTCAAAGGGTTTAACCTAACCTTAACATAAAATGATTTAGTATGATTTAAATTTTATGATTTACTTAATTTATATTGATTGGAATTTAGAAAATTAAGGAAATTACTCTATGTTGCTCTACTTCATGATTTTACTTCATCCAAAATATTCATATAC